CTTATGTATAGCAAAAGTAAAAATAATCTACTGAGTCTTTTCCAGTGTTATTATTCTCCTAACGATTATAATTTAAGATAACTTAATAATTGTAATTATCTATTTTTGTGAAATCAAGAATATTAAATTAAATTAACTACATCAACATTTTTAATTATTGCGAAATTTGGTATAAATAAAAAAACTTATAAATTATGCATTTTCAAAAATTCTTTTGTGTATACACGAAATAATCTTTCAAACATATAATAAAAACCAATAAAATATTTTTTGCAAATATAATTTCTATAATACTTTCAGTTCGTTATTTTTTTATTTTCTCGATAAAAATGTTTTAATATTTTAGTTCTCACAAGAGTTTTGTCTTTAAATTACATTATACAGGAAATGTCACGTTTCAACGGCACACGAGTCATGTCATGTATTGGAATGTCATGTTCTGTATAAAATTTATTATTTAACTAAAATACTCTAATAATAGCATTAAACCAGTGGAAATTAAAATTACAGGGACTAACATATTAAAATGAAAAAATAAAAATAAAAATAAAATAATAAATGACTATATCATACCCACCCCACCAGTAACATATTTAATTAAGCGTTGTATGTGTGAGGTATTCCTCTAAAATAGTTTTAGAATGTGATTTAAGCACAACATATATATTTTAATTGTTCAACTACTACTTAAAAAAATGATTAATAATGATTTATGACTAAAGGTTAGAATGTAATGACACAGTGTTTTAATATCCATAATAAGATGTAATGAGGCATTAGTAGTTAATTTATGGTTTAGGTGAGGAAAAGGAAAGTGAAAGAGTAAAAAGAAGAATTAAAATTGGACAGAAAAACAAAAGCCCACACCACACTGCTCTCATCTTCTGCTCTTGTTGTCTTCTCCCTCACTCAGCTCTCCACGGTTAGTCAAACACACACTCACTTCATTTCACACCTCTTCTCAATTCCCCTCAGAAGCCCCATCTTCCTTCGTTCATGATTCAGTTCGCCCACGCCTTCATTCATGTTCATCTTTCAGATTCCGCGCCGAAGAAGGAAAAAAACTCTGCCTTCTAAAATGGGTCTGCCTCTCTATTCGCCTCTCACCTCTCTTTCACCGCACCCTCTTTCCAGTTCTTAGATCTGTTTCCCAACCACTGTCCGCCAGGTTAGATCGCAACATTTTCCCACCAAAACTGCGTTTCCTGCTTTACCCCTTTGGCGCTGTTTGAGGGATTTTGTTTTTCATTCAGACCCACTTTGCAGGACAGTGTTTTGGTCTCTTTTTATGTTACCTTGTCCCGAAGCAGCAAATGGGTCGCATCGCTTTCAGCCTCGGAATTTGATGACCATGATGATGATGGTGGTGGTGCATGTTTGTGACATGTGTAATCATGGGGTGTTTAATAATTAGGGCTATATTAGGTTTTCGTCTGGTTTGTATTTGTATCTGGTAATGGTGCTTGTGTTCAGAAACCTTGTGGTGTTGGCATCTCTGTGTCGGGGGTGTTTGCATTTGTTGGAACAATAATGGGCAACGGCACTTCTCGTGTTGTTGGCTGTTTGGTGCCGTTTAATGGCAAAAGTGGTGTTGATTTGGAGTTTCTAGAGCCATTAGATGAAGGTTTAGGCCACTCTTTTTGTTACGTGAGGCCTTCTATTTTTGAATCTCCTGCCATTACCCCTTCAAACTCTGAGAGGTTCACTGTTGATTCTAGCACCCTTGATTCTGAGACATTGAGTGGTTCATTTAGGCATGAGAGCATCGAAGAGAGGCCTGGCAAGAATGTTCCGGAGACAACATTCAAGACAATATCAGGGGCTTCGGTCAGTGCCAATGTTTCCACTGCCAGGACTGGTAACCAGAATGCTCTACTTGCTAGTGATGTTCTAGAGCCTGCTGCATCCTTTGAGGGAACCTCGTCGTTTGCTGCAATCCCTTTGCAGCCTGTTCCCCGCGGTTCTGGACCTTTGAATGGATTCATGTCGGGACCCTTGGAGAGATTTGCTTCCGGTCCCTTGGATAAGGGTGGTGGTTTCATGTCTGGGCCGATAGAGAAGGGAGTAATGTCAGGACCTCTTGATGCCACTGACAAGTCCAACTTCTCAGCCCCCCTTGCACGTGGTCGCCGAAGGCCACACCTCCAGCGCCTCATGAGAAGTGTGAGTGGTCCAATGAGAAACACTTTTTCTCGGACTTTTTCCAAGCACTCCATGGGTGTCAGTTGGGTGCAGCGGTTATTCCTTCATCCGGTGTCTCAACTAGCTTGGAATTCTAAAGAGGCGAAGTTTCGGTCTGAAGTTTCTAGAAACTGTACTGAAGTTGGATCGTCTGACTTGGAGTATAAACATACACAAAATTTGCAGTGGGCTCATGGTAAGGCCGGTGAAGATAGGGTTCATGTTGTGCTTTCTGAAGAACAAGGGTGGTTGTTTATTGGGATATATGATGGTTTTAGTGGACCAGATGCACCTGATTTTCTGATGAGTCATCTTTATAAGTTTATAGACAAGGAATTAGAAGGGTTGCTCTGGGATTATGAAGATAATCCTGTTGATCCACTTAAACCTGATGTCCATAATAATGGAAATGATGTAGTTGCTCTAGAATCCGGTAGGGAGGAAATGTCTGATGCTCATAACATTTCAAATGAAGAAAGACCCTGCTGTACAGAAACTTCTTGTCCAGTAATGGTCAAGGATCAGCCATCTAATAGTGAGATAGTGGAGGTAAATGCCGAAATTGAGGTAAATGCTGAAATTGAGGTAAATGTTGAACAGAAAAATTGTGGAAGTCCCAGTATTGAGCATCCTGTTCCTGTATCTGTTCCAATTGGACAATTGAGTGGTCAAGGCAGAAGAAGTGTGCGACTTTATGAGCTACTTCAGATGGAATCTTGGAATGAACAAGTGTCAGAACAAGGCAAGGATTCTATAGTTCCTGCTGAAATAACACAAGAAAGGCAGTTGAGGTTCTGCTCATCTGGTGGTAAAGAGGATAGATCTGGACACCAGGATGAATGTCCTACTACTTCAGGGGAAAATGGACGCCCTGGGTTTAGTTCGACTAATCTGGAGCCTATAGCTCCCTTTTCTGTTTCAGGACAAAGACAGAATACAAGAAAGTCATTTATTGGTACAAAAATCAGAAAAATGTACAGGAAACAAAAGTCCTTACGTAAGAAACTTTTTCCTTGGAGTTATGATTGGCATAGGGAGGAAACTTGTTTTGACAAGAAATTAGTGAAATCCTCAGGACCCATTAGAATATGCAAGTCTGGAGTAGATCATAGTGCAGTTTTAAGAGCAATGGCTCGGGCTCTTGAAAGAACAGAAGAAGAATACTTGAAAATGGTGGAGAATAGTATGGATAAAAATCCAGAGCTTGCCTTAATGGGATCATGTGTTTTAGTGATGCTGATGAAGGATCAAGATGTCTATGTTATGAACCTAGGAGATAGTCGAGCCATTTTGGCTCAAGAACGACCAAATGATCGTCATCCTAATCCATGTCTCGTCAAAGATGACATGAGGCATAGGAATCGTTCTAGAGAGTCATTAGTAGGCATGGAGCTGGACAGAATTTCGGAGGAGTCCCCAGTGCACAATATTAATAAGCATGTTAACAAGATAAACAAAAATCGAGAGATATCCATGTGCAGATTGAAAATGAGGGCTGTTCAGCTTTCTACAGATCACAGCACAAGTATAGAAGAGGTGTGTTTTTTTTTTTTTATTGATGAACTGTAGGTTAATATATTATAGTCAAATTTATATTTCTAAATTGTGATCAGCTATTATTACGTGGTTTATTGAATTGTCATGTATATGTTGTTGATTTTTCTTGTCTCTACATGTTTTTCTTAACTATTTTTCGCATTTAAATGCCTAGGAATGCTCAAATTTGAATTTAAATTAGAAACCCATTTGTGAATAGTCATTGGGCATTTGCTAGAGGTTGTTTTTTCTTTATTCTCCTGCTTTTAAACAAAATGAGAAGTAAGATATAGTTGGTAAATGGAGAAATCCATGTTAGGTGTAATTCTCTGGATCAGATCAGGTCCGGTCAGACTCGTTGGCAATTTTGCTGGAGGATTTTTTTTTTCAATTTTGAACTGAGTTATCTAACAAAAAATTAAAGCAAATATCTTCATTTTTTCTAATATTACCTATTGAATTCAAAGTACTTTATTTATAATCACCTTTTTGAATCTCATTTACCCTTTTTTCATATTTCTTCAATAAGATCTGGACCTAGCACATTCTTACGTACTTTTATCTTCTGCCTATATTACATCTCGTATTTGCGCATACAACATACAGTTGTGAAGGAGTAGTGCGATTTTCTTATTATTTATATCTGATGCTTTCTGAAATTCAAGAAAAAAAAATCAAGTGATTAGAAGAAATTTTCGGTAAACAACAGAAGGATTGAGTAACACCTTAGACAAACATTGAATTATTTGTCTTTACTGGAAAGGAGATTTGGTATTATTTGTTAAAGTAGTTTACCAATGTTTTTCAACTCTGGTGGCAGGAAGTATTAAGAATAAGAGCAGAACACCCTGATGATAATCAGGCCATATTTAATGATCGAGTGAAAGGACAATTAAAAGTGACCAGAGCATTTGGTGCTGGATTCTTGAAGAGGGTCAGTTGATCTTCTGACTTTGGCTATCTGAATTTTAGTTTGCTCCAGTTCTTTTGTCCATAGTTTTATTGGTGGGATTCCACTTGTGTTCATATTTCATACATTTTTTTTTCATGACATGGACAATTAACCTTTCAGATTTTGAGCATAAAAGTATACATATTTTCAAATTCATGCTGTCTCCTTTTATATATGTGTGTATCCTTGAAAGTAAATTCATAAACATTTCTCTTGCAAGAATGAGTATCTCCAGTCAATGCATTAAGGGGGGTTCTTGTTCATTAGAAGTCGATCATACTTTCTGATTTTCTCGTTTAACTGTCAAAATGTTAACCAAAAAAGGAGTTGGTGGATAAGCAGATGATGGAGTCAATTGTGAATTAGTTATATTTTGACTTTTCAAGTGTAACCTACTTTAAAGGGTAGGTAAAACATTTCAGAGATAAAGCATATTCTTTGACCTTCACTTTACATTTAAATTTTTTAGTATAGTTTGTTTGTGATGGTCAGTGACAGATTTGTTCCTAAAGAATAATAAAGAGGTAGCATGTTGAATTTAGTTATTATATGCATCATTATACATTCATTTACTCTATGCTTGTTGTGTATCACCTAATTTGAATCTTTCTCTTGTATTTGTGTGATCACCCCAGTATTCTGTAGAGCTATTAATTTTTCTCCCTACAGTAGTGACAAGACCAACTTTCGGGCCTCCAATATATGCATGATATCAGAGATGCATAGTTTATGACTTTGATATTATGAAGTTCGTAATCAAATAGTTTATGATAATTCACATTCAGAAAATAATTTACATCTGCATTTTGGCGACTACATGGTTATATATTAAAAAACTCGTAGATATTCATCATTGTTGAAACACTTAATACACCAAACTCTTTGTAACACCTTACCATCAATGACTATTGAGTAACGAATTGAGTGTATGTTCTCTTCTTTCAATAAAGTTTTTGCATTTTCAGTATATTTACTTTGTTTTCAATTTATATTTATATTCTTGCAATTTGCCCTACAAGTCACTCTTTTTTACTTTGTTTCTCTTGTCTTGATGCTTTTAATAGCTTCTTCCTCTTTCCTTTTATTTTATGCATTTACCTTTTAAGCTATTTTACATTTTTAAATTGTGATGTTTATCATGCACTTTTTATCGTAGTCTTGATCGCTCTTGAAGATATTTTTGAATATTGCATGTTATTTTCTTTAACTTGGCAAATATTGATTTGTAAATTAAATCAATTTGAGGTGTAATTTGATTTACGTAAGATAGAAAAATACATGGTTCATTGTTATTTGGTTATAACCTAGGTAAAAAAGTAGATGTCAATAGGAGCATATTTGGTTACAGACACAGTACTAATATTTTGGATGGTGAGAATAAATAATGAAGAATAGATATTGTTGTTTTCTGTAACAATTTCTAACTAAAATTGTATGATTTAGCCATGTTTTAACGAACCTCTACTGAAGATGTTTCGAGTTGAATATGTGGGCAATGGTGCTTACCTAAGTTGCGCTTCGTCTGTTGTTCATCACCGGCTTTCTTCAAGTGATCGGTTCCTGGTGCTGTCCTCTGACGGCCTTTACCAATATTTCAGCAATGAAGAGGTAGTTGCCCATGTCACCTGGTTCATGGAAAATGTTCCCGAAGGCGATCCTGCACAATACCTTATAGCAGAACTTCTATTCCGTGCCGCAAAAAAGAACGGTCAGTGTCACCTATGCTCTCTTCTACTCATGTCATCATTATTATGCCATTCATTTTTGATGATGAAGTTTTTTTGCAGGAATGGATTTTCATGAATTGCTGGATATTCCTCATGGAGATCGCCGTAAATATCATGATGATGTTTCTGTTATGGTGGTTTCCTTGGAGGGAAGGATTTGGAGATCATCCGGATAATCATTTTTTTATATTTTATTTTAAAATACGACTCTTTCATTTTTGCATGTTCCTTTCATAATGTAACAATTTTGGGTTAGAAGAAGTAAAATTATTTTAGAAATCAAAAGTAGTCTATCATATTTTTAAAGAAGAACCTCTTTTTCCCTTTAATGTCTATTTTATCAAACCAGTCCTTTTCACTTGACCATTTGTTTACAAAATAGTCAATTTAAAAGTGACATTTTTTGTTTAAAAAAGTTCACATTTGAAATAGTTCACTGTTTGGAATACTTGAAAGATGGAAAATATTAGTTAGGTTTTGGGTAAAATGTTCAATATATATTGAGATTTGGTGAAAGAATAAATGTATGTTGGCTTTATTTGAAATGAATTTGGGAAGTGAAAGATTAAGATGTGGATAAATTTAAAGTTGACTGAGCTTGTGGGGGATGACGATACACACTTAATTGGGAATTGGTCGCATAAATCTTCATTGACAGCAACGCCTGAAGCCGCCGCTGCCTTGTGGGACCCAATTCATTCAACAATTTTACTCCAAACCACCATTTCTGAAGGCTAACAATAAAACGAAACAAGAGTTTATGATATAATAACACCTAACAAATTCAACTTCGATATAGATCATAAATTCTAATTTTAGTTTAAACTTGCACTATGATAAGTTGTTCTATTTTGAGGGTGATTTTGAACCAGAAAAAAAATTATAAACGTCATAAAATATTGAAAGAAAAATAAAAATATTAAGAGGTAAAATTGAGATGAAAAATAATGTAAATATAAATAAAAATAAAACCAGTATGGTCTAATTGGCTGATTGGAATTTAAGTTGAAGGGCTTTAATTTGTTAATGCTTAACCATCAGATCATTTACCATGCATCTGCTCCATCTCTGTATAAAGTAGCTATCTTTGTCACAAGCCAACTCAAAACATTAATCTTTTCTCCTTTCCTTAGCCATACATCATCAATCTTCTCTTTATTTCCATTCATCTTTACAAGCTTTATTCTTACACTTACCTTTCCAACCATGTCATTCTCAACCACAACCTTTTTTACAAATTTTCCAATAGTCATTGCCTTCTTCTTACCCGACACACTTCAACTCCTTTCTGTCGCTTTTCCTTCCTCCCATACTATATATATTCACTTCTTCCCTTTACATTCTTACTTTAGCATACTTTAAGTTATATAAATCTAACCAGTTATACTAGTATTCGAAAGTTTTAACTGATAGGGTTCTTCTTATGCTCATATTCATTCAAAAAAAAAAAAAAATCAGTTTTGAAAACAAACAACTTTTCCTTCTTACGTTCCTATATTCTATTGTCTCAACATTTGTGTTTGTGTTATTAAAATCTACAATTACAGTTTTTACACTACTAATAAAACTCATAAGACTCAAAAATAAAAATAGAAATATTTGCAAGAATTACATAGTAAAAGTTTTAGTTACAAAACTAAAACAATAAAAAAAATACTTGCAAAAATAAAAATAGTACTTTTTGCAAACTAGTACCACACAATTGTTCCCTCTGGTGCCCTCAGTAGAGTGAAGGAGCTCCAAATCCCACTAGTCGTGGCCATTCCCTGGAAACCCATTTCGCCAAGAAGAAAGTGCATTTATTTCCTCTCTGTATCACCTCTCTAATCAAATCATGCTCTTTATCGACAGTGGAAGGCAATAGGACGCCGTGGGTGAGCACTCGTTCCTTTTCTCTGGGTTTCCAATTTATCAATTTTTCATTTCTTAATTGTTTTTGTTTTTAATTGGGTTTAAATTAAATCTTTGTTTGGGAGGTAGGGTTTTGTTGGCCAAAATCTGTTTAGTTTGGAATGGGGACATACCGATTTGGATTGTTTTAACCACACCCTACTCAATTTTGTTGCTTCTGATGTCCACCCCACCCAAATTTAGCGTGCTAAATTTAAACTGTGTTAGGATGTATTCTGTGAAAATTCAATTATTTAATTTTGTGTTTATATATTGGCTTTATTGCAGAAGCAAAGGAGACACTCTCTTTCTGTTACTTCCTTTTCTCTCTCTCTTTAGTGACTCACAAATGAAAATGTATGTTTCCACCATTTTTATTTGTTTTCAGATTAATACACTAATTTCAGTTGAACCTTTCCCTTATCTATCGGCATATAGTTGATGTTTACTAACTGTGTCATAGCTTAGAGGTCAATGCTGGTGCACTCACAAATTTTGAGGTCCTTGATTTTTTACAAGCTAAAGGAGCTTCAAAGGATCCAACAAGGGTTATTACCAAAGTAGCTCACTCTGAATACAAGGTTAAATTTGCTTTTTCTAATGACAATATATTTTAAGTTTTATTGGTAGATGAATCTGCTGCATATGAGCAGGTTTATGATTATTTGGTTGACACTGCTGCCTCTGATCAAACAAGAGAGAGCATAGATGAGTTTTTGACAAGCATTAAACGGCATGACCTAGCTAAAACTGAGGTTCTGAACATATTGAACACTAGGCCAGCTGGTGAAGTTGAAATATTCCCTGTAAGTATCAAAATTTTAATTTTCCCATTTATTTTACACCTAACCATTTAGTTAAGAGTTATTAGCTCTGCTATGTATTTTCTGTTATGTCTTTAGCTTTAAAGTATGAAATATTTTCTTGTATCATTTTTTCTGTAATGTAACTTTTCAACACTAGCATATAAGCAACAAAAAAATTTCTTACAATTAACAGTTATTATAGCATAATTCCTATTTTTCTTCTCATAACACTTGAAAAAGAGAATGATTTTATTATTTTCATTCTTGACAATTACATTCTCCTTACCTCTATGTATAAGAATCTAATCTTCTAAAAAAGAAAAATAAGAAAACAATGTACTAAAAATAATCTCAAAGATCATACTCCTATTTTCTCTAATTAGGGAGATTCTATAGATATTTTTTTTAATTAAGAATATTCTATAAATATTTTCTCTAATTACAACAATAACTAATTTGTTCTGATAATATCTAAACATAATTTACAAGAAACTGTTATTGGTAAGATCAGCCAATTTGGAAACATAGTCTCTGCGTTATTAATAACTTAAAATGATAAAAAAGATAAAGTAATTGGTCGTTCCACAATTCACATCTTAGATCTAATAACAATAGAATTTTGAATGCTTTTTTAACCATTTAAATTTTTTTATGCATTCCCAAATTGCTTTTCTTGGAAAACCTGTAATGATAACTTAGTTGGAAGCATGCAGACAATTAGACTTAGCTTTAACTTTCTTTGGTACCAACTTATATAGAGACCTGTTAGTGAAATTTAGAGGGTGAACTGTAGTGAAAAGTGAGGTGCTGCCTTGTGAACTATAGAGGTCATAGGTTCAAATATTGGGAACACGCTCTCCATTCTCCATTTACGAGGATAAGGCTGCATATATCCATAAGGAGGTTTTCATGCAAGGGTTTCGCCTTTGGTTTGAATACATATGGTAGTGGTCATGGGCAAATCCTGATGGACCAAATCTACAACAACATTCAGTCTTCTTAGTTTTAAAATCTCTCTGTTTTGCTACCAAAGTGAACTTTTACTTACCACAAGCTTTGCTCATTTAAGGGAATGGTGGAGTATATTATTAGACATTTTAAACTTGTTATACACGATAATTTCTAATTAGATGACGAGATAAAATATTTTTACATGACAGATTATGGTCTATACGTAGGTTTTAAACTTCAAACTTAAAGATATTAAGAAGGATTAACTAGTTTTGTCCCTGTAAAACTTTGGATTTTTGTTCAGTGCCTATGATATTTTTTTGTTTAAGAAAAATTAGTTCTGGAGAGGGTTAAAAATAAATGAAAGACTAAAAATTGTCATTTATTTTGTACAGACTAAAATAAAAATATTTTTTTTTTTGGAAGGACTATACTTTTTTTTAGCCCTGATTTTCATATTCTTGTGAGATTTGCTTTTGGATATGTTAACTCCTGATTAATTAATTGTGTTTGTCTAAGGAGCAAGGTGTTTGGAATCATCAGGTTTGCAAGTCTGCCATTTTTGACTATGCATATGAAATAGGAATGCTTGAATTTTTAATCCAAAAAATTAAAGAGTGTTTGATAATAATTTTGTGGCTAAAGAGTGTTGTCATCTCTAATTGTAAATCTCAAGTTTTCCAGTGTTGGTAGGACTTAGATTTGACTGATCATACGCCTTTAAATATTCAGTCTATTTGAATAGCTACCCTTTCGAAACTGTAATTAATCAGTTTGATTACACAGATCATAGAGAATTGTGAGGGGCGTTTTCCAGATGAAGAGGTGACCGAAATAGTTGACCTGGTGACGAAAACATTACCACCACCTCCCAATATGAAGCAGGAAGAAATTAACAAGGGTGATGAAGAAACTGCTACACTGAAAAATGAAAAGGATGAGATTAGTGAAGATCCAATGGACACAAGATAACAGAACTAATTGTTTATAAAGGACGCTTCTCATATAAAATTTATTGATTTTTATCTTCAAACTCAAATCTCCACATGGTTTCTCCAAATTGTCATGTTTATTTCATTCATTTTTTAAGCATGTATTATCTCTAAACAAGTGAATTAACTAATATTATATTACTCTAATTTAATAATAATCTCGAGCTTGATTTCAGAACATATAATTGTATTAAATATATGAAAATGGAATTTTACCATCTATATTAACTTTTGTTGGTTTGTCAAAATCATCATCCATTATCTACATACGATTAACTCCCATTAAAAATTTACATTTTCGCATAAAGAATATAATGTTTGTTGCGATTCTAAATAATTGTCCGACTATTTTAAGTTAACCAGACCAACTACGAGTATTTTCTTCTATAGAGAACCTTTCATCATGTAAGAAAAAAAATATTAATCACTTAATAATGTCAAATGGAGTATTAACAATAAAAATATTTATTTGGTCGGATAATTCAATAACATAATTTGATCGATGAGTTTCTTCTTACTATTTGGTCCAATTCACTTTCTTTCTCAGCTTCTTGCAAGGACCTTCCAATTGTATGTATTTTTTCATCTATTGTTTTTTCTTCATAGTTTGCATTTACATCTCAGCTTGATAACTAGTCTTTATTTCCTTAATGCTGTAACTTATATGAAAAGTTTTTGTCTGAAATCACAACATAAACCATGCGAGAAAACTGATTAAATGTACAAATTGAAAAAAAAAAATTGATTCGGATGTCGGTGTTTTATACCAATGTTAAAAATAAATAAAAAGATATCAGAAAATGATAATTAAGATATATTAGTACGTCATAAGTAAAATGTATGCTTCCAATATTAATTCAATATATTTCGTGCTTATGTAAATAATACAGACCAAAGTTGGTAGGCTTCATTGCAATACTCGAATTGCTGAGCCACAACCACATGGAATATTTATAGCAGTAATTGTTACAGGCTTAGGGAATAGAAGAAGAGTCAAACAGTAATATTGATAGATGCATTAATTTGAGTTTTCAGAACTGAACATTGGTGATGAAAGACTGGCCAAATCTCCAATTGGAGGGTGCTGCATTGATTGCAGTGCGAGTCTTCCCATTGCTGAGTTGAACTTTGAAAGACAAACTCTGACCATTCAGATATCTGAGGCTTTGCCAGTTAGCACCCCAATTTCTTGTCATGCTTTCCCACTTGTTCATTTTCGACCCTTTGATCCAAACTCTAGAAATCTCTCCACCTCCACCTACGTTGCTTATAAGCACCAATTCAAAATAGTCTCTCCCGTTGATGCTAAATCTGATGCCTCCACTTCTTTTGCACCCAACTCTGCATCAAATTTCAATAAGTGTAAGTTGAAACAATTTTCACTTCATAGTTAGAATATGCATAACGCAATATAACATACTTTCTGTATAAAATTGGGACAATTCCAGCCTTGTATTTGGCGATCATCTCAAAGGCAGGTTGAGACATGTCAAAGTGTGGTCTAGGAGGATTACACCAACCACCATTGTCATTAGGGAGAGCAAAGTTTGGGGGACAGAAATTCGTGGCAGTGATAGTGATGGAAGTGCCCCTAAGGCACCATTGGGGCACTTGGTTTGCGTCACAAACTATAGTATAGCAACCACCGCATGATTTTCCGTCATTAAACAAAACAGTGCTCAAAGCAGCTGTTTTTATACCATAACCATCTGTGTTGAGATTTCCATAGCCACATGCACCACCTGTACAAGTACAAACAAGCTACTCTTTAATATCATGTGGAACTTATTCCTCTTATTTTGCACTTAAATTTTTGAATTGAAGAAGAGCACTGTAATAATGTAATTCAGAAAAATAAAACATTAGTAAAAATGTAGAACATCTTTTACCCATTGTTCCTGAGGCATCACTTCCACCATAGAATGTTGCATGAGCTCGCAACCAAGCAGCTGATGCCAGTCCAAGTTCTGTGGTGAATAGCACCACAAGCAATATGAAACCACTCATAATGAACTTTTCCATCTTCTCTCTCTCTCTTTGACAAGACAATGAAGGATTGCTTAATTTGATACTATTATGGCATATTCCTATTATCATTTATAGCAGCAGTAGGGCCTTTTAGCCCATAGAAACAGCTAGCTGAAATTCAAATTGTTGGAAAAGAAATGTTGACCAACAAATTTGTCTCCTCTTATATTGAATTGAATATTCTCGATTAAATGCATTAATTAAAATACTAAAAGTGATGACATCAATCCAAGAGTAATGTGTAACGTGGATCTTTACAATGCTAAGTATAACAGGGTGTTATGTCAATATAAATGAAAAAAAAATGTTAAAATAAATTTCTAAAGTGAGTTAGTAGGGTATGTAAATTTAAATGTATTGTGAATATTAACTTTTAAAAATCAAGTTTTGAATTATTTATTTATTTTATATTAAAAAAGATTTAGGAAGTTAACCTTAATATCAATTACCAACATGTTGAAACTAAAAAAGATTAAAATACTATAATCTAACTAATTTAGTGTATAGTAGTTAAACATTCTATATTTACATGGTGTTAAACGGTCCATTTAGCGTGAAATTCATGTTCTATACATTTTACACAAAAGCTTATGAAACCAAATGAATCAAAGATCAATTTTCTAAACAATTATGTTGGATTGATAGATCTTAAATTCAGCGAAAGATATTACATCAAAGTAATGATGATAAATGGTATGAGCAGAAGGGAGGTAGAAGTGAGAAAAAGAGTGTAGTTAAAAAACTAAAATTTTACTTTATTCTTCAAATTAAATTTGAAAAACCTTATCCAATCATTGGGTGTAAGGTTTTTAACCCAATTGAGGTAATTGAGGAAATCCATGTCACAGATTCGACGATTTAAGATGTCCGTAGTACGTGAGTGGTACAGCACATGCAGTTCCCACAAGCTGCTCTGCAGCACACAACATGCATGATATTATAATGATAAATGGTATAAATTATAGGGCATTTGAATGATAGGTTATCAAAGAAACAGATAGAAAGTACTTCGGTTCCGTACTTATATATATAATGTATGAAAAGTCAATTGGATGAAAGAAATTATGGGTATTATGCATGAATATTTAATACTTTCATACTTGTAGTAACATGCAATACCTAATTATATGCCATCATCATATTTGTTTATATATATATATATCAAGAGATGGGGTCGCAAGCAGTTTCGTTCACACACATCAATTATAATAAGTGTATGACTAGGTTCATGGCTAGATGCCATGTATTACTGCACCCATCACATGGCACATGGCACATGGCACATGACTTTTTGATTAATTAATTCTTATTTTTAATCCATTTAAAAAGACCTTTCATAAAAAACAATTAATCTCAAATATTTCAAATTCATTTGATATTCCGTAATATAGAATCACCCAAAAAAATTAAAATTGTCTTCATTTATCTTTTACTCAACTATTATAAGATCGTATTAATTCCTAAGATAATTATCGCCTAATGAATCCCTAGTATAATATTAATGGTTTTGATCAATAATGATTTTTTGTTGTTTTATTTTATATGTAATTAATTTCATATTTTATTTAATATTTGTATTAAATTATTGAAATTACCAAAAGCAAAATAGTTACATAGATACTTTTTTAGATTTATTGGATCATCACACACATGTATGTAGATATTAAAAGTTAGATTATAAAGATTAACAATAAGACTAAAGTTATCATGTTTTAAAAACTGTAAGAACAAAATGGAACAATGAAAACCAAAATTATCATTACTTTTGAACTAAAGGAACATAATTAAGTTATTTGTAGTAAAGTATTTGCTTAAACGTTACCTTGAGAATTCTTGTTAGAAAGAGCATTTCTTAATTAATGAATAACATTGTGTCAATGCGCGTAGAAACCTGCGCGTTGGGAAGTACAAGGGCCCAAATAAGAAAGGCCCACACCAAGCAAAGCAACTCAGCAAAACTTTTCTTTCAGTCCAAACGAGTCTTGCCATAGAAAAGAACCTGTGGTGTGAAGAAAATTAGATTCTCTTCTGATTTTTTTTTTCTGTCTTTATTTTGTTTTCAAAATGCACCTATCGATAATGATTTTTTTTGTTTAAAAATATATTAATACGAGTGCATTTTTAATATTCAATAAAAAAGACATACACTTTGTATTAATTGAAAATAATTTATCAATAGACACGCCTTTTTATTTGTTTTTTTTACTTTTTTTTGTTAATCATTAACATATAATAATTTAGCAATAGAAGTTATAACTATGCAATAATATAAGTTTGTCACAGATATATTTCTCTTAAAAAAGTTAGATAATTACAAGTTTTTGAATATGCTGGGACCGTTTTTGGTTTGGTGTTAGATGATTATTGAAATCGCTTTTGGAAATGGCTTCTCGACATTATCTCTTAAGGATAACAATGGCTTTGAGGGTGTGTATGTGTGTGTCTTATTTTTCAAATTTTCGTTGTAAGGGATAATAACGAACTAATTGGTCGATGTTGTTAAACTGAGCAATCAATGCTTAAGGAAAAGACGTGCTGAACAGTATATTACAAAAAAAAAAAAAGAAGTTTGAGACAAATATACTAAATTCCCATTATTTAATTGGCATACATATATGGTATATTATTAAGTTTTATTTACGCTTTTAATCAACAGTTTTAGGGTTGAGTCATCAGCATTATCCATGCTATTTTGATTCAATCGTGTAGGTAATAGGAGAGAAGTGAATATGCAGATTAGCAATTTCCTTGAATGTGATAAGATGTGATATATATTCGAATGAATAGTACATTTTGCAGACAGCAAAATGAGAATTAGGAAAGCAATAAAGAGTTTTTAAGAAAAGGCTTATCTGCATTGTTTGGTGCATAGAAGATATGTGTATTAATTGGTTTTGGTTTTGGTTCATTCACAATCGAAGCTATTGAGTGGGACCAAAATAACCAGCTGTTCACAACTGCATCTCATTTTCTTTTCTTTTCTTTTCCATTTTCCTTTTTCTCAAAGAACATTATTGAAAAAATGGCATTTCAATTAAGCTGGTGGGACTACCTTC